TTTGTACACAAGGGAGAAGATATAACAGAATGGGAATGAGCTTTGGGCTTTGTGGTCCAGTAGGACAGACATGGATGCTAGTTCTACTAGTAACTGCTTGTGTGATTGTGGGAAATTACTTAACCTCTTTGAGCCCCCAGTTTCCTCAACTATAAAATAAAGATAATAATTCCTACCTCATAGGGATGCTGACCAGAAACCATTACAGCGTTGTTATGATTTGTGTTTATTACCATGTAACTCTCTTTACATTTCGTAAGTTTGAGGATCTAAATATATTTAATTATAACATAATGTGTGTAATTTTTCAATAAGACCTAGTTCTGGGTAGTTTGAAGGTCATTTTCAATGACTGTCCTTAAATACATTCCCTCACAGGATGCACAAAAAGAGTGCGGGTGGGAGGATCAGCTGAGAGAGGACTGGGGTGGCCACAGGTCTTGCCAGAAGGTGGCAGTCCTGTGCATGAGGAAGGAATTAGGCCAAAGGTGAGGAGTAGGTATGGTAAGGATCAGAAACTAGAGAGTATTGTGGAATAAATCTGGAGGAGATCCCAACATGTATGGGTCACCATGACACGTGCTGGGTCCTTTCATGCGTTGCCTCATTTAATACTGTGATACTTTAGTGAGGTGAGAATGTTGTACTGAAGAAGAAACAGGCTTCTCCCAGCAGATCTCACAGGGGCAAGTGGGGAACAGCATAAACCTATAGGGAACAATACTAAAGTGAAGAATTGGGGGAGATACAGTAAGATCACGAATAAGGATCTGCTGAAATCTGGAATATATCCATCTTTTGAAGATTTAACAGTTTTTAAAACCTTAACATGCAAAAACCACACAAACACTTTATTTATACTTAGACACGTAGTCCTCGTTAGTCTCCTCTGGTCTCTTGCAGTCATCTCAAGTCTTTCCTTGTGTTTCAGGACCTTGACATTTTTGAGGAGTACCGGTTAGGTATTTTGTAGACTGTCCCTCAACTTGGCTTTGTCTGATGTTTTTCTCATGATTGGACCGAGCTTCTGGGTTTGGGGAAGAAGACCACAAAGGTGAAGCACCTTCTTGTCACACCATGTCAGGGAGTATGCCACATCAACGTGACTTATTACAGGTGGTGTCCACCTTGACTGCCTGGTTAAGGGAGTCTGCCAGGCTCTCCACTGTAAAAGTACCAATTCTCCATTCCCATGCTCTGTTCACTACAAGTGAGTCACTAAGTTCAGTCTGTACTTAAGCAGAGAGGAATTAATTGCCACCCCTTGGAAGAGGGGCAGTAATAATCCAACACTAAGTCATTTATTTTGTTGCTTAAATTGTTCCAGCTTTGGCCATGGGGAATTGTTTCTGGTGGGCTTCTGTGTCCCTTTGACATGCCCCCATCCTTTTTGAGCCCTTGCTTACTTTCTTGCACTACAAGAAGATGGTCTAAGCTCATCTTTTACCTTCTCTGCCCCAGCCCCAGAATCATCTATTTCACCAAGCAGACTTGGTTCCTTTCGTTGGTTTAGAAAGCAAGATCTGGGTGCTGGGTGTGCTTGTTGCCACTGGGTGTTGCTGCTTCTAGGCCCCCTCTGTGGACAGAGCTAAGAAATGTATGTGTGTACTCTAACCTGTGTGTCCACACGTCTGTATAGTTACTTCTGTATCTCTCCATCTTTATGGATATTAAGCTAAGCATGGGTTCCTACTGATGTCTTCAACTAATCCAGCAACACGAGGTTCACACTGGCCTTCCCCTCTTGCTTTTCTGTAACTTCTCTCCCCGACAGTGAGAAACCTGGCTTATACCATCCATCGTCTACTTGGTTGTTCAGCCCCAGTATACATGTAAAGCAGATTCCAAATCATTAACCCATATCCCTGTAAGAAACAAATTTGCCAACTATGGTACAGCATTTATGTATTGTTACTGTTGTCTGCTTCATGGTTTCCAGTCAAACACCAATTTCCAAAACTACTTAGGTTACTTCCTCAAACATTAGCTCACCACTCTTTTGAAGATTTTTTGAGTTAAAGCAGGCATTGATAGTTTTAAGGATATTTCCAGATACTCACCTGCCATATATACTGTATTCTGTACTTCTTAGTCATCTCAAATCTTAGCACTGCCCCAGGGTATAAACATTTCCAAACCATTAAACAAAGGGAACTTGAAATTATGTATAGTTATTGAGAATGAGTCTTGGATTATAAATCCTTTTGGAAATCAGATGGTTTGCAGGGTTTTACTTTTAATAAAATTTCAGGAGACTAATGGAATTATTGGCTGATGGTTATAAAGCATTGGTGATAGATTACTACATGATTCTTGATATACAACTAGGCAAAAATTGAGGTCCACTTTTAACAAAACTTCCATTCCTATTTACTTATTTGGCTGGGATTTCTCAGCACTTACAGCTTTCAAAAAAAAAAGAAAGAAAAATGGAAGAGAGTCAGTGTTGAACCTTATTTATTCTAGCAAGAAATTAGCATTCATCTATGAATACTGAACCAATGAAGCATAGGGAGCCCATCCAGATTTTTAAGAGATGAATTTCCAATACAGTTTTACTTTTAAATTTATTAAGTATGTATCAATATTGTGATATATTTTGATTGTGTACTACTAGTGATTTTAAAAATTCAGAAAAAATAAGATCCTATGATCAAGAAATATAAATTTCCATTTACTGTATATACTTCCTTCAGAGCAGTATGATAGGGTGATCAATAAGACTTTAAGCATGAAAAATATTACCTTGGGACAAAATTCTATCAGGAAAGTGGGATGGAGATAGATTTCAAGGAGAAAGAGTAATGATGTTAATTTTCTGATTCTTAAAGAGCTTTTTTTTGTTTGTTTTGATGGAAGATGGTGGGTATATCGCCTTGGTATTTAGATTCCACTGGATGTTTTACTTGTTTCAATATTTAAAATTGCTGAAAACTACATCCTTTCCGACTACAGGAACACATAATGAAACATTCTAGATAGCAGCCTGATGTGCGAATCGGGAATGGGTCAGGGGGCATGTTTGCAGACCACTGGGCAGCAGCCAGTTTTGTAAGAGGACCCGGTGGAAGGCCAAAGAGTAGGCCAAGGTTCCAGTCTCACTTCCACCTCTTGGCGGTATTTGAGACCTTGCACAAGAAACACTTCACGTGTGAATTCAGCTGATTTGTGAAACTGGAAGACTCCTACCTTGCAAGGTGGTTGTAAAGAAGAGCTAACGTGCGAAGCATCTGGCACACCGTAAACAGTGGAGTACTGTGCAAAGGAGTTCCGACCCAAGGCAAAGAGAGGTGAGTGACTCAGTGGGGTCTCCATACTCCCTGGCCTCTGACCCCTCCCAGAGGTACGCAGTGTAGACCAGACCTTTCACGGCTCGGGCCCAGAGCCCCTCCAGCGTTCCCTCGTGCGGCTCCGCCCCGGCTGCCGGGAGGCGCAGCGGCCGCAGGGACCTCGATCCCCCCGGGACGCTTCGCTCGCCCCGCGGAGCCGGCAGAGCAGGTATACTGCGGCGGGCAGTCCTAGACCTTACCGGGACCTGCCCCAGGGCTCCGGGAGCCGCCGGGGAAAAGGATGGAGTCGGGCGGGGAGCGGCGGAGGAGCCTCCTGGCGTCCAGGGCCGGGGCGCGCGGGTCTCCATGGCAACACTGCACGCGCAGAGCTCCAGACCCGTGAGCTAGCTCCGCTGCCCACACCGGCCGCTCCCCGGGGAGAAGGATTTTCCCTAAACCTGGGGGCTTCCACCCCCTGTGACACTTAGGCGGGAGGGTCGAGGACCCTGAGTTCCCGGAATGGTCACCTCGAGCCCCTATCCAGCATCCGCGTTCCTCAGAACCGGGTCTTTGGGTGTCCACGGCCTCTACTGTCTGTGGAGCTGGTTCCCAGCCGCAGGCGACCCAATCGTACCCGTTTCCTACCCTGATTTAAATTATTCGAAAACAATCCGCTCACCCTGTTTTTAAAAACCTGCATTATGCTCTAACTGTAGCATAAAGGGGAAATAGAAGGAAAGCAATTTATAGTATACATTTCAGTCTGTAAATACTTGGCCCTTCTATACTCGTAACAGCAGTGAAGTAGCCAGGTGCAGGCGCCTGGGCACAGTCACCTGAACATGACGGCCGCAAATGCAGATTGTCTCCGGTACCAGGGGCAGCCTGGCCAGTGGAGGGAGCGATTTTCCAAAATGGTGAACAATTCTTGGTAAAGTTCCAAGCATAGCTAAGTGTAATAATGTAAGCCTTGATTTACATGTAAGCCTTGACTTACATGTAGTTGCATTCCTAGAAAAATTCAGTGTTAATTAAAACCGCAAAAAACACTTTGTATTTAGATGTAAAATAGAGTTTGGTTTTAGCCGCAGGTAGTTATAAACGAATTTTTCCACGCGTGTGAATGTACCGGGAGACTTTCCAAGGTTGTGGGGCCGCGGGATAATCCTTTATTGTGCGGGGCCGTCCCTCCCGTCGCAGGATCTTAGCATCCCGGGCCTCCACCACGTCTAAATGCCACGTCTCTGGATCTCTGGGGAGTACAGAACACCGCCCCCACCCCAAGTTTCCAAAACGTCCCCTAGGGGGCAGTACCTACCCCCCTAGAAAGGCTGGACTCAACCAGCGTAAGGACGTTCCTGCTTTATGGAGATGCCAAGCACCAGGCATGTATTTCCTTTCATTCTCTGAACAAGCTCTCGAAACAGGTACTATTTCCATTTTAGAAATTAGGAAAGGGAGGTTTTGCGAGGATAAGTGACACAACGGTAGGTGTGTATCAAAGCTGAGCTACAAACCCAAGTCTGACCTGGGAGCCCAGCAGGAAGCTCTGCCTCAGTTTGGTTACCTGTGGCCGGCAACAGGTGAGTTATTTGACTCTGTCTTGGCAAGTCAGGAAGGAAAGTTTTAGCAAAATGAGTTCTTTTACATTTTAGTCATCAATTTTCTGACGTTCTTAAGTCTTTATGAGAAGTGTGTGATAAACTTTCTCTACTCTAATTCCAGGAGACCATGGATAAATATGATGTGATTAAGACTATTGGGGAAGGTGCCTTCGGGAAAGCATATCTGGCTAAAGGCAAATCAGATAGCAAGCACTGTGTCATAAAAGAGATCAATTTTGCAAAGGTAAATGAAGAAGTTCAAATTTCTGTTAATTTTTCGCTGGCTTTTAATCCAATACGAAAGGAAACTTTTTTTTACAATTATGATTTTAAGCCTTAGCTGATTCCTGCTCACTCCACCTGGTAAGTCCATTGTCCAAACAGCAACCAATGATCTTATTTTTAAAAAAGGGAGGAAAGAAAAAAAAAATAAGATCATATCCCTGTGACTCCTGTCACACACCTTGGGAGGTCTGTAAGGCCCTATGAGATGCCACCCTCCTCTATTGCTCTGTGGTGTCCTGGGTTGCTGCAAAACCTTCATCTCTCCTTGTTCAGGTCGCCTCCACAAGGGAGCCCCCAACTTCAATCATACCTCATCACACCTCCCTGGTTTATCTTCTTAATACTTTGCTTTCTGATGTCTTCTTTAGCTTGTTGTCTGTCTCCCTCAGCATGCAGAACAGTGCCTGGCACAGAACAGGTGCTCAAAAAATATTTATTGAATGCATTGAATGACTTGTGGACAACCATGTATCATTGTTAGCCTAATGATTTTGGAGAATAAATGTATTTAAGGAGGAACCATTTTTGTTAAATTCACCTTGGTCAGTGCTTATGTCAACCTCTCTAGTGATATGTTCATTTCAAACTATATTGGAACAATAATGTCTATTGTATGCTAGAATTAATTTTAAAACAAATCTTGTTGATCACCTTCTAGAGGATTTATAAATGAAAGTAGCATAAAAAGTTCCATACAAAGAACATGCAAAATGGATTACCCAAGTTGCACAATGCGAATGTACTTAATGCCATTGAATTATCAATTAAAAATAGTTAAAATAGTATAAATTGTTTATATATATTTTACCACAATAAAAACTTGCAAAAAAAACCCCAACCAAAACTACCCAAACTTCCATTGAAGTTCATGGGTATACTATTAGCTTTAGGGATAATGGTTTATTTACCAACATAGGTCTCTTTTCATGGATCCATGGCATATTTCTAATAATGTCCTCTTATTCTAGTGGCCTGTCATAACTTCCTCCCATGACATTATTCTACTCATTCTCTTGTTTATCTGACTGCTCTTTTTCAGGCCTGTCTCCTCATCCTCTAAATGTCCCCAGCCATCTGACCTTTGCTGACCTTCTCTTTCTGCAGTTGTCACCTAGCAGTCACCTCAATTCAATGTTTACCACTAAGCAGATCACTCTTGAAACCCTCTCTCCAGCCTTGATATCTTCCTGTGCCCTAGTTCTGCATTTCATCTGCCAGCTAGATATCTTCGAGTAATATCTGTGATAGTAATCTATCTCTATGTAACATATTACCCCAGCGTGGCTTAAATGATAAACACTTAATATCTTGCAGTTTCTGTGCATCAAGAAGTCAGGGCGAGCTGGCTGGTTAGCTCGGTTGGTTAGAGCATGGTGCTGAGAATGCCAAGGTCCAGGGTTTGACCCTGTGCCAGCCAGCCATCAAAAAAAAAAAAAAAAAAAAAAATTAAGGGGGGGGGGG